CCTCAAACTAAGGATATATTCTAACAAATATATAGTTCAACTAAATAAATATAGTTCACATTTTTTTTTAAAAAAATGTAGGTCATTGTCCCTCAAACTAAGGATATATTCTCATTCACTTATCATTTATTATGTTTGTCATTACATGCATGTGTGGGCTTGCAAGGACTACAAAATGCAATACCAAAGAAAAGACAAAATAAATTAGTTTTTTTTTAAAAAAATATGACAACAGTTTTTTTTTAAGAGAAATTTATGGTAATATCCTTTTAAATTATAGTCGTTAAGTTTTTTTTTTTATTGAAAAATAGAATATTATGGTTATATTCATTTTTTTAAAAAAAAAATCTAAAAATGCCCTAACTCATAACCTGAAACTTCGAAGAAAAAAAGTTATCTAAATTTTAGATTTAAGTTCCTTGTGGATGTAGCAAGTATAAATGTTTGTTTAATTCCATGAGTACTTTGGACTTTCCAAATACAAAGTTAAAGTGAAGAGAATTTTGGATTTGGAAAATCCAAAGTTCTCTATGGATGCAGCACGCACATGGATTTGCTGAATTTTATAGATTGCTACTAGGAAATGCCTCAGATTTTCAACATCCAAAGTTCTCTGAACTCCAGATTTTGGAAATCTATAGTTCTTGTGGATGTTTACGGAAAAAGGAACAAATGAAATAGGTGAAACTTCTTCACACACACAAAAAAAAAAAAAGAGGTAAAAGAACTCAGAAGTTTCAGGGTTTGAAGTTGTGGAATTTTCTAGGAAAAAACAAATGAATGTAATATTCAAATTTTAATAGCGATAATGGGACAATGCCTTAAATTTCTCCCTTTTTTTATTTATAACGATGATACATCTCTCCTTTGTTCATTGAACTCTATCAAGAAGCATCGTGATCAATCTTATCATGATCATCATAGTTACCGAGTGGTTTGGTCTAGTCAAAATTGATCTGATATCCGGTTGAATTGGGTGGACTGGATTTTAAGAATAAAAAAATATATGAATGT